TGAACAATGAACCATGGTATATGTAGATCATATAACCTTAACATCCTTTGTACACAACTATTTTCTGTTTTTTAAAATAATCAAAATTATGATTAAACTTCAGAGATAACTTAAAAATTATTACAGTATGTAGTCAACTAAATTCATAACAATTTGTTCACATTGTGAATAAACTACATGTTTTGTACTGCGAATTGTTGGGATTATTTGAGTTTTACTATATTTTAAACTGTATACAAAAAAATTCAGACCTTTAATTCAATAATAAGAGAAATACGAGCCTCTGAAATTTACATAATTCATTGTTGGACCACTTACCCTATATGTACAGGGTATCTTACAACTTATGACTAAAATTTTAATAATATTTCTAACTAAAAAATAAGACAAAACTAATATTAAAATATCAAAGTTAAAATTAACTAATCACAGAGCTGACATTTCACGCGCTCAGAGATGATACATCACACAAGCGGATGTTCGTATTGTTCGTATGCCTACCTATACAGCATCAATTATTGCAGAAAGTTTTCAGAAATGTTTCAATTTTTCGCATTTTATATGCAACAATTATGAAAGGTTTCTGCAATATGTCATATGAAATATTTTTACAGAAGTGTTTCTAAAATCTATCATATGCAATAAATTGAAAACATATTTAAATGGAACAAAAAATTATGTTGTTAAAATGGCTCCAAAATTTACTAAAAGTTATTTTTTTGATCAATCACAATTCAATTTAATGTTATTTCAATTTGATATTATTATGATTTGTTCTTTAATTGCGAAAAATTTTTGTATATGCATAATACGATATATTTGCAACAACGAATGGAAATCCTTATATATTTTCTGTTGCTGTCATGTTTTCATCATAATGTTAAAGATGAAACAATTAATGATTTGTTGCTAACATGTCATTGTCATGTTGTCATGTTAACCATTGCTTACCACTATTGCTTATAGTTTGCTCTAGAAATTTTGACAACTGATACAAGGTGTCTCGTAAGATTTGGCCAATCGCTTTTGTGTAGATAGTGATAGTATTTCAGTAAAAAATTATTAAAAATCAATATTTGACAATTTGTTGTAATTAATATCTTGTTAACTATTGCGAAAATTGTAAAAAGGTAGAGGACTTTTTGACTCAATTTAGTCTGCTCTATCTACACAAAAGCGATTGGGCAAAACTTATGGGATACCCTGTATATACATATAAGCAGTCATGTTGTGTATTCATAATGTATCCTATTTTAATATCAGCAAATGTACAACAAATATATAACAACATATGCAATGCATTAGTTTACACAATATGCTATATCACTTGGTTATCTGGGATAATATTGTGTGGAAACTGCAGGTGATTATATATAAGTGCTTATGCATATTATATGCTTATGCATATAATATGATTAATTAATCAAAATAGTTGGTGATATAATTACTATTTTTGAGAAATACTTTAAATTTATTTCAATAAGGGCTGGTTGTTCCACCTTTTGGTAAATTTTATCTGTGAGGTAAATCTAGTAATCCACGCATGTGATTGGGTAATCTTGCTACTTACCCAATAGGTAAAATTTATCAAAAAATGGAACAACCGACCCTAAGTTTTGTAGTCTGTAAATAGATCACAAAACTCTTAATAAATTTCAAATAGTAAGTGGTCCAACAATGAACTATGTAAATTTCAGAGGCTTATATCTCTTTCAATTATTGAAAATCTGAGTTTTGGCGTACAATTTATGAATTCAGTTGGCTACATACTGTAAACAATAACTTTTAAATTATTTTTAGCCACAATTTCGATTATTTAAAAAATTGGGAAGTGGTTGATTGTGTGGACAAGGAGTGTATACACAATACAAACCATGCTTTTTAAATAATAAACTACATGTTTTATACTGCGAATTGTTGAGATTATTTTAGTTTTGCTATATTTTTTTAAATGTTTATTTTATAAAATAGATAATTATAAGGTGGTGAGGATTCATAAGGCCGACCACCGCATTTTTCTTTCGCTTTGAGTAAAAACGCGTCAAATGAGTATATTTTTATTGAGATTTTAGATGGGGGGAGGAGCCGTATTCTAAATAATTATTATATACATATATATATACTATATTCTAAATAATTATTATAATGAATTATTATTTTGAAGGTTATCGTAAAAAAGGTTATGTGGTCTACAATATACCATGATTCATTGTTCGCTATGTTAAAATGATTCATTGTAGACCACCTAACCTTTTTCACGATAATCTCCTAAATAATGTGATAAAATAATATAACAGAGAAAGTTGCTTACAGAATAATAAAGCTAAATGTGCACACAAAACTATTGCACAATGAAAAAAATGATAGGTATAACAATAAAAACATAAAAAATATGTAAAACTTACAAAAAAAAACTTATTTTCCAACCTAAAATTAAAATGTGATATTACATAACCGTCCTTGGCATAATCTGCCAATCGACTGGGGAGCCGAGGAGGAGTTCAAATTGTTGCATGATAGCAGCACAAATAATGTTGCATATATGAAATATCGCAATGGTTTATAGTGTACTAATTCACTGTTGGATTACCTACTTCAGAAATGATATTTAAATATATGTTTAATTGATACTTAAACAATATTCAAATTTATTATGTCCACATAATAAATTAAAATATTATTTAAGTATCAATCAAATATATACTTAAATATCATTTTTGTATAATATTTCAAAAAGATTGCAGATTCTTTCTATGATATTTCATCAACCTTTCAACAAGGTTTCATGTGCGAGAATCGCGAACATTTTGTTATTTCAGAACTATCTCAGAAATTGCAGACATATTTCGCAAATATAGACATATTTATAAAGTGTTTCACTTTTCAGTTGAAATATTTCTGAAATATTTCTGAGAAAACTGTCGATGTTGTATAGGTATGTTTATCCCTTGTGAAATTGAAGTAATTATGTATACAATAATGTGTTGGAATGCTTTATTAATCATATTTAAATAGAAAATAAGATCAGAAAATAATCCGAAAACTTAGGGGAGGGGGATGAGAGTCAGCGTGTTAATTAATTAGTACGCGTAAAGTTTAATCTTAAAACTTTATTTCATGAATCCAAATAATCTTTGTAAGTTTCGGTTCACTTTGGAGTCCTTTTCATCAATACAATAACTAAAAGTTTCTCCTTTGCATCTCAAAAGAGAAGGCACCATAAAATTTATAGATTTGATATTGTACAATCTGCTGAAACATTAAACAATATAATCTTTTTAAGCAAAAATCTGAAAAAAGACAATGACTCATTCCAAACATAAAAAAACCATTTTGTATTGCTGAAGAGGACTCTGAAGTAAGTCGAAACGTACAAAAATTATTTGGAATCATGGAATAAAATTTTAAGATTAAACTTTGCGTACTAATTACCACGCTGACTCTCATTTGTCCCGAGTTTTGAATTCTTTTCTAGTTTTGAATTTGGAGAGTCCGTAAGAAGATTACATTATTATTAGATAAAAAATAAGTACATGTGCAACATATTTAACATAAAAATATTACAAGATATTGTAAAAAATTTAGAAAAAATAGTCATAACACAGAAGCTATCAATGTTAGGGCTCGGTTTAGGGAAGTCTACCAATTTGGAGAAGACCAGAGCTTGGTCTGAATCCCGGAACGCGCTAATATTTTTCTCGCTTATTTCTTAGTATTAAAAATAATAAATATGTATTGGGTCATTTAAAAAGTATCCGCGGTTTTTTCATTCAAAAATTGAACAAAAAACTGCGGATACTTTTTAAATGACCTAATATAACGAATTATTTTCCGAAACTCATGAACATCGCAGACAATTGCTTTCGTATGATAAAAATGTTTGCCATTATTTTCCAGTATGCATACAAGTTAAATTCCTTACATATTTGTATCAACATACTTTTTATTAAATTATTAAGTTTTATCACATTTAACATATATGTATACTGGAAAATAACGTATAATTAAGGAAATTTTTATTTTTACTATACGAAAGAAGTTTAGAATACTAATGAATTTGAAAAATAATTCGTTATGCATATTATTTTTAATAATATTATAAACGGCATACACCACTACGCAATATATTATTGTTCGCTGCCAACATCTTGCATAGTGGTGTATGCCCTTTATAATATTGTTTTGAATTTTTAGCCACTTATTTTTGTTGTTTTATGTTGTTTATGTTGCATATGTACTTATTTTCTATATTTAAACATGAATGAAGTATTTCACCATTATTGTACAATATATATAATTACTCACAAAGGGTAAACAGGCGTATGAACGCTTGTGTGATATAACGTCCCTGAGTGCGCTGTCAATGTCAATTCTGTGATTAGTTAACTTTAATCGCTATTAATTTAAAAACTATAGCCTTGAAATTTTACTATTAGAATATTTGTCTTATTTTTAAGTCAGAAACATGTTATATTAAAATTTTGGTCACGAGTTATAATTATATACACCCTGTATTTTAGTAAAATCGAAAGAGCCATATGGTTTGATGTCCTCTTATTAGTTGAATAAAAATTATATATATATATATATATATATATATATATATA